GAGAGAGAGAGAGAGAGAGAGAGAGAGAGAGAGAGAGAGAGAGAGAGAGCGAGCCAGCCAGGAAGATGGCTCAGTGGAATAAGCGCTTCCCTGGCAAGCACATGGGGCCTGAGTTCAATCCCTGGTTCTGAAAAAAAAAAAAGAGAGAGAGAGAAAGAGAGAGAGAAAATTTTAAAGAGAACAGGTTGAAAAATGTGTACAAGGGCCAGGAATATAGCTCAGTGGCCCAGCGCCTGCCCGGCAAGTACAACATCCCAAATTCATTCCTGATACCAAAAAAGAAACCATGTACAAGGCAAATAGCAACAGTAAGCAAGCATAGGAATATCAATTTTAGACCAAATGAAATTTGGAAGTTAAAAATCACATTTAGAAGGACAGAGGCATATGTTGTGCTTAGTGAAACCTACAAAGATAGTTCATGAATTTCTGTGTATTATTGGTATAATACTGTGTTAAAGATTTCAGCTTAAAGTTTGACAAGACATTGGTATTTTCACATTGCTGGTAAGGAACTTCATCATTCTACTCATAAAATATGAGGCATCTGGTAGGTGTATAGACAAGGGTATAAAGAAGATTTGGAAAATTCTTAATGTTGATCTAAAAGAAATATATGTTGACCTTTAAACTTTAAACAGAAACACATTATGTGTAAATACAACCAGGTATTTTTTCTTTCTTTCTTTCTTTCTTTCTTTCTTTTTTTAAGGTATTTAGTACAGGGTCTTATACACAGATCGAACTCCTGGTGATCCTCCTATGTTCAGCCTCCCAAACACCACTGAGATTACAGGGGAGCACAGCTGCTGAGCACAACTCAGCACTGGGCCACTGAGCTATATTCCTGGCCCTTGTACACAGTCTCAGTTGCCATCTCAGCATGCCCCAGGGCCAGGGCAGCACTGCACACCAGGGGATCAAACCCTGGTCCCTGCATCTGCCTAAGCAGGCACTTTAATCCACTGAGCTATCTGGCTGGCCCTATACTCAGATATTCATGAAAATTAAGAATGACTCAGGCCCCAAAACTGTATTTGCTGGTCACATTTTCTTTTTGTTGTAAATGATCTTGTGCTGCCCCATTGCTGGCGCCCTTGAAGATTTGAGGTCTTGACTAGCAGAGCGGCGTCCTCATGGTGGCTGTCACACAGGCAGTGGCAACCAGACGGCTGCACATTGGTCTCTTCAAGAATCAGCTGGCTGCCCTTCCTGCTGCAGGACCCAGAGACTGCCCCCCCCCCCCAGCCTCCTCTTGCTCCCTGTCTGGAGGAATAGAGAAGTCTTGGGTCATGTCATCAGCATAGTCTTAGGCTTATGCAAGTCAGGAGAGACCACGAAAATTCACATAGATGTTGGCATTCTTGGCCCTGAAAGTCTACACCTGTCAGATGGCCGACCTCCTCCTAGTTCCTGCTACTTCTGGCCATGCTCCCCCATAGGCTGATGGGATTTCCTAGGTTAGAAAATGAACAAAGCCTTGCACCAGAAATCTCCCTAGAGAGACACCTACTGGCTGGCAGTGGAGAGTGATGGAGTTGTGTTGACACTGCCGTTTCTTGCGCTCCCTGCATACCAATCCTTTCCAGACAACTCACTAAGTAACTTAGACATTTCTTTTGTCATGTTTATTCCAGTAGCTCATTTCCCAATACCTCTCTCTTCATGACAGGGAACTATTTATGAAAACTGCTCCAACAGTAGGGGAACTTCTTACCCATTTATTGCTCTTCAGTCTTTCGTTCATCCTTGAACTCGCCTGCCCATGCTGTAAGGGTTCTGTTGCACGTCTAGGGCAGACTGCCTGCTAAACTCTTTCTAAACCAGGAAGTAAAACAAAATCAGTAGTATGAACCCAGTGGGCTTCGAAGCATTTTTCATGTTTCCTTCCATTATGTTGGAGGATAAATTCCTGGCTTGAAGTTAAAATAATTCCTGCAAACTAATAGAAAACTCAGCATGCCTTAAATAAAGCATGAGATACAAAGTAAGCTTTTCACATGCAAAATTGTGGTGCATTCTATAACTGTTAGTTAATGTTAATATTTGGGGAGCTGAGTAAAGATGGAAGAGGAAGAGACTACTTTAGTAGTACAATGCAAGCATGTAGTATAGAGATTAACCGAAACACACAGTGTAAGTTTAAAACTGTCTGTTAGAAGGATGAGATGTAATTATGAGCCAGACCATGTTGGTTTGGACAGAATTTCTTACAGAATTATTAAGCCTTAAAAAAAGCAAAAGAGATTTATGCATCTGCATTTGACCAGTTTGGTTTGGAATAAGTTCATAGTGGAAAAGTAATAAAACCATAAGAGACAGTGTCTTCTGAGTACAGTCTCACTTTTTAAAAATCTAAACATGGGCTGCCCCATTTTGGATAGAATGACTGTAGAAAAATTTCCCATTGGTAATTTTTGGAGGAATTTTTGTTTCTGTTTCATTGAGAATCAGCCAATATAAATTTTTAAGACTTCTTTCAAATACTTTTCTGGAGATAGCAGTCTTTGGAAAATAAATCCTTCAGTGTTATCTCTCTCTCTCTCTCTCTCTCTCTCTCTCTCTCTCTC